CAGATGATCAGTGGAGAGTTTGCTCTTGACTAGCATGTCGTCGACATATACTTCCATATTCTGACCTATTTGGTGATGGAAGACGGCATTGACCAACCGTTGGTAGGTGGCCCCAGCGTTCTTCACTCCGAATGGCATTACTCGGTAATGGTAGGTACCTCGGTCGGTGATGAAGGATGTATGTTCCCGATCGGATGGGTGCATCAGGATTTGGTTGTAACCAGAGAAAGCATCCATGAAGCTGAGCATTTGATGACCGGCCGTGGCGTCGACCAGCAGGTCTATGCGGGGCAGAGGATAGCTGTCTTTAGGGCAAGCTCGGTTCAGGTCAGAGTAATCGACACAAAGTCGTCATTTGCCATTGTTCTTGCGGACAAGGACCATGTTTGACAACCATTTAGGATAGTCGACATTTTTGATGAATTGGGCCTCAAGGAGCTTGTCGACCTCTGCGGCTATAAGAGTATTGCACTCCGGATGAAAGATGCGTTGCTTCTAACGGTAAGGTCGGAAATGAGGTTCAATACTGAGGCGATGAGTTATGAAAGAAGGGTCAATGCCTAGCATATCAGAATGAGTCCAGGCGAATACATCATTGTGCTCGATCAGAAGGGCAGTAAGGTCGGCCTTAGCTTGGGGGGATAGTTGGCTGCCGATCTTAGCAATTTTCATTGGGTTGGTGGGATCAATGGAAATCTCAACGAGCTCCTCCACCGGTTCGCCTTTGACCAGCTCGTCCTCATCTCGGGCGTCAAGTCCTTCAATGATCATGGCCTCCTTCAGCTTGACTTCCTTGAGTGAGGCGACATAACATTCCCTGGCTATGGTCTGCTCTCCCCGTACTGTCCCGACGCCCTGGTCAATGGGAAATTTTATGGTGAGGTGGTAGGTTGAAGTGATAACTTGAAAAGCGTTGAGGGCAGTGCGACCAAGGATGATGTTGTAGGCAGAGGGACAGTCGACCACAAGGAAAGTGAGCAACTTGGTAGTCTACCGTGGGTGTTCGCCGATGGTGATAGGGAGATCGATGGAGCCGATGGAGGTCACCCGGTCACCAGTGAAACTGACCAAGGGGGTTTGGAGGGGAGACAAACTTTCCCCCCCAATTTTGAGCTGGCGGAAGTAGCTGAGGAATATGATGTCTGAAGAACTGCCGTTGTCGATGAGAACCCGTCTGACTTTATAGTTGCAGAGAAGGGCAAAAATGATGAGAGGGTCATCATGAGGATAACGGATGCCAGTACGGTCGGCGTCCGTGAAGGTGATGGGCTCTGTCCACTGCTTGGGCTGTTTGGAGGGTCGGTCTACCGTGTCCACTGCTCTGTCCGAGCCTTGCCTTATCTTCCTGAGCTCTGCCCTCTAAGCGGAGCGAGACGGTCCGCCACAAGCAAGGCCACCAGAAATGACTCGGATTTCACCAATTGGCGGAGGGGGATTACCTGGGTACCGAGGCTGTTGTGGGGGGCGGTCATGGCCTTGGTTAGGTTGGGCTGGCTGCCGGGGTGGGGTACGCCGGCGGTTATTTCTGAGGGGCTCGGTTCTTTGCCTCTGTTGTGGACGGGTGTCCGTGAACCGGCTGAGACGCCCTTGGCGAATGAGGGTCTCGACCTGATCTTTGAGGTTGATGCAGTCATCAGTGTTGTAGCCATGGTCCTGGTGGAAACGACAATATTTGGACTGGTCTTTCCGGTTGAAAGGGGTCCGTGAGGGTAGGGGCCATTTGAGGGGGTAATCTCGTTGGATCTGGTGGAGGACTTGTTCAATAGGAGAATTAAGGGACGTGTATCGCTCGAACCGACCGGGCGGTCGGGCTGGTGCTGACCAGTCAGTGCGAGGAGATCGGTCGGTATATTGGGGTGTTTGGTTGTTATACTGGGTGTTTCTAGGTTCCGAGTCTTTTCTCTTTTCTTTGGGAGTCGGGTTTTTAGATATTGGATCCTGCCGAGCGGCTAGTGAATTTTCGGCATTCATGTATTTCTAGGCTTTGGATAGTAAGGCTGCCATGGAGGTCGGGGGGTTTTTGGAGAGGGAGAAGAGGAAATCGGACGATCGTAGCCCGGCCATGAAAGCCGTGAGGATGACCTTATCGTCATTCTCCGTTACTTGTAGGGCTTCGGTGTTGAAGCGGGTAACGAAGCTGCGCAGCGACTCCCCCTCTGTCTGACGGATGTTGAGGAGTTGGGTTGCAGGCCGGCGTTGGCGCTGGGTTCCAATGAAATGGCTGAAGAAGGAGTCGCTGAGATGCTGGAAAGTGGAGACAAAGTCCGCTAGTAACTGACTGAACCACAGTCGAGCTGACCCCTTCAGTGTCACGGGAAAAGCCTGACACATGATCTCGTCAGGGAAGGATCATGAGGGTACGGTAGGTCTCTAGATGGTCGACTGGGTCCGTCGTACCGTCAAAGGAGTCAATGGTGGGCATTTTGAACTTGGCGGGCAAAGGTTTGTCCCGGATGGAGGCAACAAATGGTGAATTTGCCGTGGTAGAGGGTTTATGCTGGATGTTCTACATGACCCCTTGAATTTGGAGCTTCATTGCTCGGAGCTCAGCGTCCCAGAGGGGAGCGTGGTCACCATGGTCAGTCAATGGAGGCTGGACGCTGCTGGCCTCCCCTTCAGGGGCTGGTGTTACGACCGACAGGTGTAGGGGTGGTGGTGGTGGATTTATATGTGGGTGGGGAGGTTGCAAACCTTCCGAGTTGGGTGGATGGAGTTGTGGAGCAGCATGGCCCGGGGTTTTTTCTTGGTTGGGCGGAATATCTGGATTTGGTGGAGGAAGCATCGGAAGGTTTCTTTGGAGTAAAGCATTTATCAAGGCTTGGTTTTGCTCGGCCATGCGGTTAATGCTGTTGGTAAGCTCGATAAAATACTGTGGTGGGTTGTTTGGATTGGGGGGGTCACCCTGATGGTCGGCAACATTATTGTGAGAAGCCATGGATCTAGTCGTGACCATACACTTTGACGGGTAAGAGAAAAAGGTTGTTGAAACGGGGTCTCCGGCGACAGTGAACACAACTGGCGCGAGGAGCAAAGCGTTTCCCACAGACGGCGCCAACTGTTGATACAGTTTATCCCAGTGAATGGAGCGAACTGGTCCAAGCTCCTCAAGCCCAAGCCCAAATGATCGTGCCCACCGGATAACCTGCAAACAAGTTCAACGGGGAGCGGGGTAGTCCTCCAGTGAACCCTTCGACGAGCAAGTTAGGAAGAGAAATAGAGTATAGTGGGAGAGATTAGAGATAGAAAGCTTAACATTTTTCTTGTCTTCAACGTTCGTTTATATCCTTTAGCAATCATTTCGCTGTCCCTTCCGACCTGCTCTCCTCGCCGAAAGCCTATACTATAGCTTACCTTGCTCAGCGTAAGGGGGTCCTGTTCCGACGGAGAGGTGTTGTCGTAATAAATGCTGTGATGGGCTGCATTAATGGTGATATGCAGTGGCAATAACTTTCTTTACAGATCTTTGTCTGCTGATGTGGCTCGTCCTTCTCTTGCCGTGTGTCTGAATGTCATTGGCTCTTCATGCCATGTTGGACTCCAGCTGTCCTGGACCTCACCAACTGGGTTATGCACTGGGCTCCAAGTGATGGGCTTGGATTGTCCATAGGTGATTTGTGGCCTTCATGGGCTTATACATGTCAGTAATTTTTTTATTTTTTGACTTTTTTAAATTATAATAAATATGATCTAAATATTTTTTCACATTTTATATATAAAAAAATGTATAAAAAATAGAGATACGATTTGACTTTAAAATATATATATATATATATATAGTAAAATAATGGATGTTAAATAGTGCCTTGGAACCCTTGGTTTTTGTTTGGTTGGAAGATTTAATGAACTAAGGAGAAAGAGAAAGAAAAAAGAAAAAAGAAAAAAATAATAATAAATTGATAAGATTCGAATTTCAAACTAACAGATTATTTTAGTAATTTTTTGACTTTTTACAAAAAGATATTCAGAAAAATAAAGAGAGTGATGCGATAACTTGTAGTAATTTTTTGACTAAAATATATAGTTGCCAAATAAGGCCTTAGTTGAGTTGAAAAATGAAAAAAAAAAAAAAAAAGTTTAAATGAATTCGAAAGATAAAAAGTGAAATTGTATTTTTCTCTCTTATTTTATTTTCTCGTATATTTTTATTATAGCCAAACAAAAAATGAAGTTGCGTTTCATTTTTCCTTTTATTTCCCCCCGTCAAATTCTCCATCTAAACATAACCTTAGAGACTTCCCCTATCAACTTTTGACAATTACATACTGCTGCCTCACATTTTTTTAATATACACCAACATCTCTTTCCTTCGAATTTGATTCAAGTTCGATTCATTAAAAATTTGTTTGTGATCAACTTGTTTAACAAGTAGAAAAAATTTAAAACTCAAATTTACTCTTCAAATTAAATCAAACTTGAACAACTTATTATTCAATTCAAATTATATGCATTGCAAGAAATCATACTATTTGAACTCGGCTCGTAATCAATTTGATTAAAGTTCATGTAAATGAGGTAAACAAATCCAATTTAAATACATTTAAAATTTCGTTTTAAACAATCTGTAAACTTGACTCTTCAGCCATTGACCATAGTACATCTTTGATTCTCCCATCTTACTTATGCATCTAGGATCCAAAAAGGGGTGTATGTATCATACTCTATATTAATCCATACCTTTCAGTTCTTAGTCTTCAAAATATTTCATAGACAATGGTTCAATATACTAAATGGTGGAGTCTCAATAAAGAATCCAAACTACAAACGTGATTTTATTAAAAAAATCATAAAACGAGACATGTTATTCAACATGAGCAAGGATCCTCTAGAGTTTTTTTTTCTTAAAGTTTCCTAGAGTAGTACATTGTGTGGTTGAGATTTAATGACAAGTCACATCAATTTTTCAGCATTAAATCTCAACCACACAATACACCACTTTAGGAAACTTTAGGAAAAAAATACTCTAGAGGATCCTTGGTGATTCAACATATATATGTCTCATGCATTTTTTTGCTAGCAGGCCAAATTAAATACAAAGAGCAATAAAATGGTTACATATAATTTCAGAAGCTTTATACAAGGGTTTTTCCTCTAATGAAGATAATCCTATGTATGCAATAAAACTAGTACTAGTTTTAGCTAGAAACACACCAAACTTCTTGGCAGGCCATTCAAGTGGCTTAGACACCCAGACCTCTGAACTCCTGAATTGTGTCGCCTCAGCAATTTTTATAACCAAAAAAGCCAACAAAATCAAACGTTTAAATTTTGTTTACCCGTTAACGGATAAAATATTTAGTTGGATTTTAGCTTAGATGTAACATTAGATAATAGGTAGACAATATATAAACCATTAGTTCACAATGATGCCAAAATGACAAACATTCACTGCTCAGACTGAAACTTCAGCTCCGAACTCAAGACCTAAACTTGAGACAAGATCAATTAGAATCCGAATCATCGTATCTACGCATGCCTGTTTCGGCTTTGGAACTAATCTCAATTCCATTAAAGAGCTCCTCTCTCTTTCTCTGCATCTTTAGCCAGTGCTCTGGCTCCTCAAACAGATGCAGGATCTGCCAAATACAAACAACACTATGAACCTTTTACTTTGAAGTTTCATTGTGGGTGTGCATAATTAGCTTGAAAGAATGAAAATGGTATACTGTTTTCATGGTTGGTCTTCTAGAAGAAGAATGCAAGAGGCAGAGGAGAGCTGCGATCATCATCCTTTTCATCTCATCCTTGTCGTAGTCTTCTTTCAGGTATGGATCAATTAAGCGTTCACAGAGTCCACAGCCGAGTAATGACCTTGCCTGAAATTAATAACTTTAGTAAATTAAATTAAAAAAATAGCCCAATAATTTGAGTGATAAAAGTGAAATTAACCCATAAATTAAGTCAATGTCCTGTTCTTGCAATACCCAGAGTACTAAGCTTTCGTGAGTAGATGTTTGGTTGGTCCGAATAGCCTCTTTACCAGTGATGAGCTCAAGAAGCACAACCCCATAAGAATAAACATCTTTTTTTTCATCAACTCTGCCTTACATCATGTACTCTGGTGCCAAGTATCCGAACGTCCCAACAACGCACGGCTTCGTATACCTTGAAACTTGCTGTGTTTGTTGTTGTACTATTGCTGCTCCAAAATCAGACAACTACGGACACAAATCCAATGTCATGAGTTGGTCCAAAATTAACTTCATAAAACTAGAAACTAGTTTATGTCAACACACACAAAAAAAAAATTATTCAAACACAATTTAGAAACAAACAGAATGGAAAACTGAAACTAAACTTGTGGTTGGCAATTCTCAGAGAGCAAAATGTTTGATGATTTCACATCTCTGTGAATGATCGGAGGGGATCGAGAGTGGAGGTACTCCAGTGCCTTTGCTACACCAATTGCTATCTTCACCCTCTCACTCCATCTAAGCTGTTTCAGTCTCTGATTCACGTTTTCCTTCAGCAAATTATACACGATTGCATGCATACCATTGCTGTAACAATACCCAATAAGCTGAACAATGTTCTCATGTTTCAAACAACTCGAAGTTTCAACTTCACAAAAAAGGTCCTCTGTCGATGAATCCTTGTTCTTTAGGACTTTCACCGCTGCAGGCTGACCATCGTCAAGCCTGCCAAGGTACACCTTGCTATTCTCGCCCTCTCCGATCACCATTTCAGGGCTGAAATTGTTTGTTGCATAACAAAGTTCCTCCGATGTGAATCGCCTCCCCGAGCCCTTTATTTCCAGGATGGCCAGTCTCTGGAACAATTTGTGTGTCATCAAGTCTGGAAGCTGCAATGCCTTTTTAAGACTGCGCCTTCTTGAAATTTCAACCTGTTTTAGTGGTGATGGTTTTGAGGAAGATGGCATTGTCAATGATTTTTGGATCTGACCAGGGGTTGTTGAATGTTGGGAGTTACTGTGATTTAAGGCAGAGGAGAGAGAAGATTTGAGGGCTTTTCTTGTAGAGCCTTCCTGGGAAGTCCCCTGTCTCTGCATTAAGATTCTCCCTGAATTGTCCATTACCAGAAGGGAGCAACTGGGAGGCAATGCTTTCAAGAAATTGGAAACAGTCGCATTTTCGGGCCTGCATAACAAACATCCATATGAGAGAGAGAGAGAGAGAGAGAGAGAGAGAAGTTGTTGGATTATGCACTAAAATTCATTGGATCATGTTAGAATCTCAATGCATAATTCAACGACTGACTGTTTTTGGAGAAGAGAACAAAGAAAAGATTGAATGTATATTTAGTTTTGGTTGTGAATCTTAAAAATTTAAAAAAAAAAAAAAAGGTTTTGAACCTTAAAAAAAAAAAAAAAAAAGTTTAAATGAATTCGAAAGATAAAAAGTGAATTTGTATTTTTCTCTCTTATTTTATTTTCTTGTATATTTTTATTATAGCCAAACAAAAAATGAAGTTGCGTTTCATTTTTCTTTTTATTTCCCCCATCAAATTCTCCATCTAAACATAACCTTAGAGACTTCCCCTATCAACTTTTGACAATTACATACTGCTGCCTCACATTTTTTTTAATATACACCAACATCTCTTTCCTTCGAATTTGATTCAAGTTCGATTCATTAAAAATTTATTTGTGATCAACTTGTTTAACAAGTAGAAAAAATTTAAAACTCAAATTTACTCTTCAAATAAATCAAACTTGAACAACTTATTATTCAATTCAAATTATATGCATTGCAAGAAATCATACTATTTGAACTCGGCTCGTAATCAATTTGATTAAAGTTCATGTAAATGAGGTAAACAAATCCAATTTAAATACATTTAAAATTTCGTTTTAAACAATCTGTAAACTTGACTCCTCAGCCATTGACCATAGTACATCTTTGATTCTCCCATCTTACTTATGCATCTAGGATCCAAAAAGGGGTGTATGTATCATACTCTATATTAATCCATACCTTTCAGTTCTTAGTCTTCAAAATATTTCATAGACAATGGTTCAATATACTAAATGGTGGAGTCTCAATAAAGAATCCAAACTACAAACGTGATTTTATTAAAAAAATCATAAAACGAGACATCTTATTCAACATATATATGTCTCATGCATTTTTTTGCTAGCAGACCAAATTAAATACAAAGAGCAATAAAATGGTTACATATAATTTCAGGAGCTTTATACAAGGGTTTTTCCTCTAATGAAGATAATCCTATGTATGCAATAAAACTAGTACTAGTTTTAGCTAGAAACACACCAAACTTCTTGGCAGGCCATTCAAGTGGCTTAGACACCCAGACCTCTGAACTCCTGAATTGTGTCGCCTCAGCAATTTTTATAACCAAAAAAGCCAACAAAATCAAACGTTTAAATTTTGTTTACCCGTTAACGGATAAAATATTTAGTTGGATTTTAGCTTAGATGTAACATTAGATAATAGGTAGACAATATATAAACCATTAGTTCACAATGATGCCAAAATGACAAACATTCACTGCTCAGACTGAAACTTCAGCTCCGAACTCAAGACCTAAACTTGAGACAAGATCAATTAGAATCCGAATCATTGTATCCACGCATGCCTGTTTCGGCTTTGGAACTAATCTCAATTCCATTAAGGAGCTCCTCTCTCTTTCTCTGCATCTTTAGCCAGTGCTCTGGCTCCTCAAACAGATGCAGGATCTGCCAAATACAAACAGCACTATGAACCTTTTACTTTGAAGTTTCGTTGTGGGTGTGAATAATTAGCTTGAAAGAATGAAAATGGTGTACTGTTTTCATGGTTGGTCTTCTAGAAGAAGAATGCAAGAGGCAGAGGCGAGCTGCGATCATCATTGTTTTCATCTCATCCTTGTCGTAGTCTTCTTTCAGGTATGGATCAATCAATTACGCGTTCACAGAGTCCACAGCCGAGTAATGACCTTGCCTGAAATTAATAACTTTAGTAAATTAAAAATAGCCCAATAATTTGAGTGCTAAAAGTGAAATTTGTTGGAAAAATGGTTTAATATAGGCATATTATTGAGTCCAAATTTGAGTGGGTCTCAAACGTCTTTTGGGGTGGGTCCGAAGAGGTGACGTGTTCCTTACCGCGTGGCAAGTCACACGGTGAAGATGGAACGTCAAAACCATTTATGAGTGAATGGGAAGTTGACGTCGTTTTCGGGTTTAATATTAATTTTTTAGATAAAAAAATTCTTTTGAATTTTTTCAATAAAAATTATTGTGGGAATATAATTTAATTCTAAATTCAAATTTTGGGTTCCTAAGTGGTTTCCTAAAGTTTGTAATTGTGAGAATTTTATTTAAATTCTAAATTCAAATTTTAGGTTCCTTAGTGGTTTCCTAAAATTTGTATCTCTTACTTTATTTATTAAATTTTTCAATTTAGTTTTATATATATATATATATATATATATTCTAAATAGTTTTTAATAAATAAGGTTACTAGCAGTTGCTTTAGTTGACCAACGGACAACCTATTTCAAATTTGTTTGAATATAAGGTTTCATAGTGTTAACAGTCCGAAACTGTTTTGGATACTTAACAGGTAGCACCTGTTCGGGCAGATTTTTGTCTCATTTTTTGCCTATATATAGATGTTATTCCAGCAGTTTTGGTACTTGGAAAAATTCCGAAAATTTCAGTATGATATTCCATCATTGCTGTCCAATTTTTCTCTAGTGCATTTATTCTTCATATTTAGTTTTAGAATAAAATAGAGAGAGTATAGATCACAGGTTTGATTCGCCGAACAAATTGTTTGAAATGCTACTACAATTTGTGAATATCATTGTATCCTAGGAGATAGACGCCACTCAACCGTAAGCACCGTAGCGGGGCGAATCTGTCTTAAGGACAGAGTGTCACACACTCGACTTGGTCTTAATTTTAATTTGGTTCGATAAATAAATCTGATATGTTATTTATTTATTTTGTTTGGATTTATTTCGAGTTATTTTATTTACACAGAAGATTGTTACAACAATCTTAAAACACACTCGAATTATTCTGTTTACAGAATTTTTCGTTTGTTTCCTTTTTTAAGAAAATTATTTTCTGTAGATTTACAAAATAATATTCTGGTTGGAAAAACAAATAGTGATTATATGCTATTTGACAGATAGTAGTAATATACTGTCTATTTTCTTTGACAACTGGTAATACGATACTGGTGTCATTAACAGTTCAGAATATATTTTTGTGAAATTTTGTCAGAAAATTAATTTTGATTTTTAGAAATTATTTTTTGTGTTTTCATTAATTAAAATTCTATTTCAGTATTTTAATTATTGGAGTGTTACAAGAGATTTAAATTTCTGTGTGAAATTAATTTGGTTAAATAAAATTTTATTTTATTTCCAAATTAATTGGAAAAATAAAAGTTATACTTTTATTTCTTTTATTTTACAAAATATAATTTCTTGTGTGGAATTAATTTGGTCAAATATAAAATTTTATTTTATTTCCAAATTAATTGAAAAATAAAAGTTATATTCTTATTTCTTTTATTTAACAGAATTTAATTTCCTGTGTGAAATTAATTTGTTTAAATAAAATTTTATTTTATTTTCAAATTAATTGGAAATAAAAGTCTCATTCTTGCTTCTTTTATTTTTACAGAATTTAATTCTGTGAATTTGGATTAGTTTTCTGTGTGGGATTAATTTGGTTAAATAAAATTTTATTTTATTTTATTTCAAATTAATTGAAAATAAAAGTTACATTTTGTTTTGTTTCTTTTATTTTAACAGATTTTATATCTGTAGTTTTGGTTTAATTTGTTTAAATAAAATTTTATTTTATTTTCAAATTAATTGGAAATAAAAGTTACAATTTTTGTTTCTTTTATTTTTTACAGAATTTAAAATTCTATGTTTTTTGGTTTTAATTTTCTGTGTAGTATTAAATTCTAATTATAATTGCGGTTTATAATTTAGAATTTATGGCTACTAAAACTGGTCAAACTAATGTTCAAACCAGTACTGGTATGGTGATTGCCATTACGCCAACATCTCTTCATATTGGGACTATGCCAGTGAATCATGGTGAAAAACTAGGAAAGTTCTTAGGAACTGGTTTTAAAAGATGGAAGAAGAAAATGCTATCTAAAGGAGGAGAAACTAAGAAGTACAAGTTTAATGGCATGTGTTACATTTGTAACAAAGAGGGACATCGGACCAAAGATTGTCGTTACAAACGTAAAGGCAAAAGAAGATCAAGTAAGAAGGTTGTTAAAGCCAAAATGACCGAATTGGATAAAATTTCCAATGGTGTAGATGTCATCAATCTTTCTGCAATTGTTTCCGAGGCAAATCTTGTCGGAAATCCTAAAGATTGGTGGGTAGACACTGGTGCTACTCACCATATCTGTGCCGACAAAAAGATGTTAACGTCTTATTCTACAGTTAACAATGGTGAACAACTTTTTATGGGTAACTCTTCAACTTCCAAAGTTGAAGGGCAAGGAAAGATTGTTCTGAAAATTATATCAGGAAAGGAACTCACTCTCAACAATGTGCTGCATGTACTGAATATTCGCAAGAATTTAGTTTCCGGATCTTTGTTGAGTAAGAATGGATTTAGGCTAGTTTTTGAAAGTGACAAGTTTGTACTTACCAAAAACGGGATGTATGTAGGAAAAGGTTACATGTCTGATGGCCTTTTCAAGATGAATGTAATGACCATTGTACCCTCAGTTGTTAATAATAATACATCTTCTTCTTATTTGCTTAAATCTTCAAATTTATGGCATGGTAGACTAGGACATGTTAATTATGGATCTTTGCGTAGATTAATTAATATGGAATGTTTACCTAAATTTGATATTGATTCAAATCATAAATGTGAAATTTGTGTTGAGGCAAAATTATCTAAAACTCATTTTCATTCAATTGAAAGAAGTACGGAACCACTTGAATTAATTCATAGTAACATTTGTGATTTTAAATCTATTCAAACCAGAGGTGGGAAAAAGTATATAATCACTTTTATAGATGACTATACTAGATATAGTTATATTTATTTAATTCGAACCAAGGATGAAGCTTTGGAAACTTTCATTCAATATAAGAATGAAGTTCAAAATCAACTTGGTAAGAAAATCAAGAAACTTAGA